TCGTCCTTTTTCATCGCTAATCTCGCTCTTTTTCGGACGAACCAACTATAAATGAGCGGAGATACTGGCGCGAGATTTACGAGCGCGGCCGTTTTGTTGGATTACAGATAGCCCGTAGTCCGAACTTGTGCTGGGCGCGCGCAAACTAAGTCGCGGTTGCTCGTAAAATCGCGGCGAAAAGAGGCGGCGCGTCATTCGTTACACGCGGGAAACTGCCGCGAAAAGTTACGCGCATTCTCGTTTGCGCTCATCGCGCAAAGATAATTCACAGTGAAATAACATCTTTGAAATCTGTCGAACGATGTTGTTTCCTTTCCTCTTATCACACACCGACGCGTTTATGATAAAAAAAAGCGCATTGGGAATTTTATTATTAAAATAATAAGAGAGAAATTACATAAGCAACTGTCGTTAATTAGGAGACATTAAATAAAGCGCGGGACACTATTAAGTAAATTTTATTCATTCCCGCGAAGTCTCCCAAGTATTTTGCATGACGCCGCCTGTCGCCTCGGACGAATGTTAAGAGAAGGACTTCTTAAACATTCCTCCGTGCTCTTTCGCTTTCTGGACCCGCTCGTTGTCCTCGTCGGGATCGAGTTTAACTTCGCTAATATACTTTTGCGCCCCGCTGCATAGAAGCGAGATGTATCCGCGTTTCTCAGTAATCGGCTCGAACTTCCACGAGTGAACTTCGAATGAATAAAGTTTGCAGACCGAAGGAAGGAAGGAAAAAGTAGACCGCGCGCCCACCGGTTCTTTCTCCTTTGTTTTCGTCGGACCGTTGATTAATCGATGATAATACGTCCGCCAACTTTGAGAAATAATCTATATAAGCGACGCGGTGATGCCTCGGCAGAGAGCGTAAAACTTGTCTATATCGGAAACCGCTCGACTAATTGGAATTTTGCTCGCGGTGACTTTGCACATGCGAGAAACCGAAACGCGTGTTTACGCTACGATTCGCATGGTAAATTAGTTAATTCAATAAACAAGTGATTAATCAAACAACGATGTGTAACAAATTGTTATATTGTATATTTATGACTACCGATAACATTTCGCAATATGGATATGTAAAATGAATAAAGACTCGATTGGATTATATAAATAACTCTCGGTGCTAATTTAAAACCGAGTTAATTTTAGAAAAACTCAATAAAATTGTCAACTAAAAAAAAAAATAAGCCGGTGTAATCTTTCGAACGACGTCGTTTCGGCAATTTTGAATATTTTCGACCGAGGTATATCGAGACCTAGGTCCGCCATTGACGGATTTCATTCCAAGTATTTCTCGTTCCACGCGTCTTCTCAAAGGCTTGGAATTCTCTGCAACAATGTGTCTGCTCTAAGTTCCAGTTTCAATAAAGATCAAAGATTCGCGCGCAAATATATGAGAAAGCAGCGCGCATTGATATTTTTTGATTTCGAGAAGGTCTCGAAATATATTGCCCGTAAGATTGTTCTTTTCCAAAGCACGCGCGGAAAAGAGCCTCTCTCTTGTTAGTGTTATCTTCAAGGATATTCGAGCAAGTCAAAAAAAGTTTCGATACATATATGCATAGTATATATACAAGTTTCATAAACGCATTACGTGGAAAAAAAATTTATCGGATGCTTACTTTGCGGCAAACGATACAGAGAGTCTGCGTGCTTCCGCAAGCTCGCGTGTGCTCAGTAATAAATTCCAATCTTGTAGTATAAGGTGTTACATCGCGTTTTGAGCCGACGATATAGTGAGGCCAGGCCGTTGGTAAACTTTCCGGACAACTTTTAAGCTTGTTTAAACTGCCAACTTTTATCGACCATTACTCGCATCGAGAGAGAAGGAAAGAGGGCGGTTTTAACCGATTAGTTTGCTATCAGAATCGATAGGCAATAGATACGCGCGCGCGCGCGCGTTTTATCCGCGCACGTGCGCAATATATGGTTCTTTTCATGCGTGCTCTTCGTCGCATAGTTTGTATACACGCGCAACATAACACAGAGACGTGATTGCGTAAATTTTCGCTCGCTAAATAGCATTTGCTCTCAAAAATGTATGATGAGAGGTTGATGAAAAGAGAGAGAGAGAGGGTGGGGAGAGAAAGCGTGTCAATATTGTCAGCTGGTAACTCGGTCAACATTTGTTAATTGTTTGCATTGGTCATTTTTGGTTGGTCAACATGGAAACCGCAACGCCGGTTTCGCCAGATGCGGGCGATGTACATATAACTTTGCAAACACCGTCGGAAACTTTCGTTTTCGCGTGTTAGAGTACACCAGAAGCACGACAAACAATTTAGAAGAGCCCGTTAATATTTGACCAGAATGCTCGTGATCAATCGGTAATGTGCGCCAATTAAACGCGTACATATATAAAGTTTGTTTCTGTCAATCATCTGAGTGTAATCATTATGTGTGTGCGTGTGTGTGTGTGTGCGCGCCTCTACAGCAAATATGAATTCGAGATAATTGGGAAAACACTTGAACTAAAATTGCGAAAAAAAAGCAATAAAAAATTCTGCAAACTAACTTTTATTAAAAAATAATTATAAATAATTAAAAAGTTACGTGTTACAATTAACAGTAATTGAATACACGTATTGCAAAAAGATATTTTTTTGTAATAAAAAATTGAACGTTTAAATGTGTCGTATTTTTCGTTTTTGAAAAATTACATATGTATACGAGAACAAAATTTTTTAAGCGAAATTCAGTTACTTAGGCGGAAGTGGACGCCAAGAGCTCTCGGTTCACAAAAATGAAATATGTTGCTGCAGAAAGACGACATCCGCGCGGAGCCCGCGCTTTTTTTCACATTCGCTTCCGCCTTCCTTTTCCAGAGCTCCGAACGTACATAAGCTCCGCGAATTCGATCGCACACTCGTACGGATCGTTTCACTCGTTCCGAACGGGAAACGTTTCGGTCAGGAAACTGGTACGTGTCGTAAAGGACCAATAAAATCGATATTGTGCGCCGTGCGGAAGTGTCGTTTGGTAACGAACCAATTCCACGTCGGTCAAAGTAAATCGTCGTAACGTTGAATGGCGTGTATACGGTATCGCGCAACAAATTCAGCCGCTGCTTCGCAAATCCCCTCCCGATACGGTAAATATTCGTTTTCCCGAGCATTTGCCGAAGTTCATTGCGCATGCAAACTCTCCCCGCTATACATATATATAAATTTATACAAAATTATATCTCTCTGTGTGTGTTTGTGGATTACACGCGCGCACACACACGCGCGCGCGCGCCCGTATTTGCGCGTTATTCTTCGCGCCGGGATATATAACGCCGGATATATACATATACTTTTCTCTCGATGCGCATCTGATAATAAATCCAACGTGGGACATTAATCTATTGTCCGACGCGGAAATACACACAGGATGTTATACTATACGTAATTTCGTCAGACAAGATACTCTTTTATTCGAAATTGATTCGTTCTCCAATTGAAACTATCGAGGATACCTATTTTTTTTTTTTTTTCTACCAGTAATTAAGATCGGAACGCAATAAAAGTCCGCGCTCGCACATATTTCAATAGATATTTTCAAATATTAGAATCAAGATTTAATTGTCGAAATACGTTTCGCGATTTCCGGTGTTCTCTCGTTACAATTTTTATCGATATATAAATGCGCGTTGCAAAATGCGCGTGTTTAGTTCACATCACGCGTGCAGTTAGATTTTTCAATAAAAAAATTAATGCATTTCGCAATGAAGGAAGTAAACAAATATTAGATCTGATACGTTTAATTTTAAACGTATTACTTTTTTTTTTTTGTTTTTTAATATTCTTATAACACCCCGAAAAGTTTTTCGGGGTATCGACTTTAAAAATACGTCGCCGAAGAGATTCCGCTATTAAAATTAAAAGCGTTCCGATGTTTATGAGATTCCTCTTCTCGAGATACGGCGGTAATGTCGAAATCTAATTTGCATTCTGCGCTCTCCGTTTCCGTATCGTTGCAGATGTGCGCGCGCCACATCACCAGCTGCGCTTCCGCGGCGATATCGCCCCCCTTTTTTACGGAGGAAAAACATCTGGGGACCGCCGGGGAAAGCCGGAATGGCACGTGAAGGAGCCATAAAATCGATATTGTAACGCGACAAACTATCTCCGCGCGGTAACGAACCGTTCCCACGTCGGCCGAAGTATAAATCGCGGATCGTACGTACACCATATATCGTGGATACGTGTAACAAACGAGCCGCTCGTCTTTCTTTCCTCCCCCCCCCTCTTGCTTTTATTCGTTTTCGTCTCCTGCGGAGAGTCTCCTATCTCGACACCTCTCTCGCTCTCTTTCTTGGCCGGGTCCAAGGCCATAAAGATCGAGTCTCCCGGGTAAAAGGCGAGAGAGCCTCGTTAAAAACGCGAACCCCGATCTCTCAGCTTCCAGCCGTATAAGCGCGAATGTCTACTCGAGGGAGGGGAGAAGGGTTTGCTGTTACAAGAAGCAAGCCCTCTACTATCGGGGGAAAAATATAGTGCCGGGATAATATCTACGTGTATACAAGCTGTTCGTAACGTCCGTAAATTATTGCGCTGATCAAAAGAACGGTAGGGCTACTACCGAGGAGGTAGGAACGTATCAAAAGGAAATCGAAGACAATATCCAATCTTTTTTTTTTTTTTTTTTTTTATAAGCGTCACGTTGTCCTAAAGATAGAACGGACATGCGGGATCGATAAGTGTGATGGACGAACGCGATGAGGGAAACGCGACGATAAGCTCTTCGTCTTCGTTTTCTTGGGCGAAGAAGACGCGCCGCTGACATGATATGAAGTGACGACATATTTTTGCGTGACATTAAGGATCCTTCAACGAATCGATCGCAGATAACAACGCGAGTCCGTCAAATGAGCATTAATGGTACTCAAATATTAAGTTGCGCTCGAACGGTCGACCGTAGGACGTACTTTAAGGGTGTTCGACTAACGAAGGCGCTGACGTCACTACGCGCTATATAATATATATATAAGATAAGGGAGATGTAATTAAAAGACTTACGAGCTAACGAAGGTCGGAAATGAATGGCTCGTTGATAACTCAGAATTGCCTCCTCGTAATTCTTCCTGCCTTGCTGTAAGATGCCTCTGTAACAGAAAAATAGTCCTTGTTAAATGCCACGTTCAGGGAAAGAGAAGTGTAATTACAGAGACGTTATATACAATCGAGAGAGAGAGAGAAAGAGATAAAGAAATTTAATGGAAAAGATGTTCGATGTGACCTCGACGCCGACGCGACGTTCGAAAGCACGGACTCACTTTGTACTTTACACAGAGCAAACTGATTTCCCGCTAGGCTTAAAGCTCTTCTCTCTCTCTTATCTTAGTAGTTCACATCTATCTTCCGGCTTTCAAAGATATTCACCACTTCGATGTAACATCGAAGTGTCAAATGTCGCGGGAAGAAAGGAAAAGTTTTCCGTCTCTTAGACAGTGAGTGATTAATCTTTTCTCGAAGGACGTCACTTTCAGAAACGATATAAAAATATTACTTGTCAAGACGATGACTTATTGCACGTGAGGTCGCCGCCGCGCGGTGGGATTAAATTGCAGGCGCGCAATAAGCGCGATTCGTGATACCTCCATATATACCTGGGGTTCGTCCTTCTTCCTCCTTTCCTCTCTCGTTTTCTTTCTCTCTCTCTTTCTCTCTCTCTCTCTCTCGCGAGGAGAGCTACATATTTTAGAAAGGACCCACCCGCTTCGGCGTCGCGGTGATTAATCTCCCGACGTAAGTTGTCACCCCGAGAAACGATGAAAATATCACTTGTCGAGGTGAAGTATAGTCGACCGACTCCCGGGGTGGACTCGCGCGCTGCACAAGCACTATCGCTGATATTTTTCTCGTCGCGCTTTATCGAAATCGGACGATATGGCGCGCGGTTATTTTTCTTATTTCCGTATGTGTGTTGCGGTATTTTTCTTACTTCCCGACTAGATCAGAGAGTCGAGAGGCGAAAGAGAGACAGAGCTGTATCGCGAATTCGGAAGATATTTGTGCGCGCGTCGTATATACACGCCGTATTTCTTCATATTTCACAAATTGCTGCCCTCCTCGAAATGAGATTACAATTTACTTACGTACGTTGTTCGGGCTTGTAATCGCGAATCTCCGATGTTCTTTGCGAAATGAAGAAAAAGATCAAACGCGGAGGGTTCGCGCCCATGACGATTTATTATATATATATATATATATATATGTATATAAAGATCCTTCGCGTAAAGATTCGCGCGCTTCGAAATCTCTCCGACCGCGCGCGAACTTTTATAACAAAGCACGTATGTGCAATTTGAATTGGCTCGTAAATTACTGAGTGAACAAAGTTTGCTGTGCATTTCCGCTCCGATGCGTTTTCGCGCCACGCGAAAGCGGAACTGTGTACGCCCCCGTCTTTTTCAGCGCTCTCGTTAATGTTCGAGATATAAATTAACACTAGCAAATTCTCTCCGCTCGGCCGAGTGTCTTTTCGGATTAACAATCTCTAAAAAACAAAATAAAAAAAAAAATAAAATTTTGCACTTAATTTATTGTTAAAATTTAAGATCGCATTTAGCGCGCAAATCGAAATCTCGCGTCGATGCAGCGTCGCGAAAAATTACACTAATGAAGGCGCTTTGTGAGCCTCCGACGAACTTGAAGAAAATGAAAAAAAAAAAGAAAGGAAAAAAAAACACGAAAATGGTGGAGAGAAAAAGGACTCGAGGACGAGGTGAAGGAGGAGCAGGATATTTCCTTTCCTCCTGACGCGCGCGAACCGGCAGGATGAAGAGAATTTCTGTTCGTTAACGAGCCGCTACTCTGCGTTCGTTAACTTTCAACAAGACGAAGATTCGCGCGTGTATATATATATATATATATATATATATACATATATACACATACACGTCCGTCACCTCCCTCCCCTCCCCGTGTTCTTCTCTTGCAACAATCTCCCGTTTGTGCCAATTTGCAATTATACCCTGTATTCTGCTTAATTTGTTATTCAACTCTTGGCTCGTTTACCGGCTATACACTGCGATTTAGTGAAATCTTTGCCAAGCGGTGTATAAAATTCGCAAAGTTATGCTAAATACGTAAAGTACTATGAGAGAAATGTGAGAGAGAGACTTCAGAAAGAGAGAGACTGTAAACAGAACTAAAGGAATAATTTTGAATAATTAATGTAAAAAAAAAAAAAACAGTAAGGTTTTGATAGAGATTGCGTGCGTATCGTGTTAAAAATCTAAATAATGTACATTACCGCGGTTGAAAATAAAACAGAAACGATATATATAATAACACACATGTTACAATATGCACATATCTCGTTCCCGTTATGTATGTACGCGCGGGAAACGATATAAACGCGATCGTGAAAATTTATAAAAAAATATTACGATAATCTCGCTTTCCACCGAATCGAAGTTTCGCACACGCTCGCTTGAATAAAGCGCGCGCGCTTTACCTTTTGTAATATAAACGTTTCCCGTCGATTCTTTACCGCTAATAGTGTTCGATCAAGACTCTGACAGCGTTTAACGCTAAATGCGAAACTGGAGCACGAGTCAATTTACGTAGACGCTCGTGCCAGGGAAAAGACAAATCGCGCGCGTAATTCTCTCCCAATGTCGTTCGTTTAAAACGCAAAACTTAATAAAGCGACGTGACACGTCAAATGCTATTAGTGTCAAAGCGTCGCGCGCGCGCGCGAGCGGGCGAGCGGACACGCGCACATAACGGCTTTCGCGGCAACTCAAAACCGAAACACACATGTGACCAGACTGTCGACCGAAGTAAACCGCAATCACTCGATCGAATCGCGCGGATATAATCACGCGAATTATCTCGGCTTCAACATTGCATTATAGTTCCACGATTGTAAGCGTTTTGCAACGTGTCACGTGTTTCGGTCGGAATATTATAATAGTTCCGATGATGGAAAAACGTGTTTTCTCTGTAAAAAAACTTTGTGTCGCTGAAAAAGTTCGTCGCGCGTAAACAAAGTAAACGGAATATTTGATTTTCACGAAGGTCTTGCAGAGAGAATATAAATAATTTTTTAACACGTAAATTTTGAACGCGAAGTTTCATTTGTCAAATTACGTTTTGACGTTGGTTGACGAAAGCAGCAAAAACGCTCATTGTAACTTAACGTAAAATAACGACATGATAATGATACAAAGAGCTATTTCTATTTCAAAACACTGTAATCTGTGTATCTATAAACAGACAGGGAGAAATACATAATCTATGTACAAACTTCCTTTATATAAACTTCGTTTATATACAAGTGGCTGAAATCCAATTGATAACGCGAGTTTACATCAGAAATTCAATCTGAAAATTTCTATTCTTACATCAGTATTTTGACATTATTCGTTCATTTTATTATTGGAAGTATATTAATATACCTCTTGTAAAAACACTTCCGTCAGATAATGTCGTATAAAACACAATAAACGTGTAAAATTTCGATCATTGACAAAAATGTCAAAATGTAACAAAATTGTTGCAATTAATTATCCAAATTGACTGCATGTATTACGGCATTAGATTACGGCGGTTGATAAAACGTGTGTAATAAATCGAAGGAAGCAGAGACAAGTAAAGCAAGAGTGAGAGTTTGTAATTTCATTAAAATATATTGATGTTTATATACTGGCGGACGTTTCATCGATCGGATCGTGTATTCTGGCTCTAACTAAATTTAACTAAACTTTACTCATACAACTTTACTTCAATGATAGCGATCGTGTGCTTGTTCCCCGTAGACTACACGGTATGGTAATGCGATGCGAAATATTCGCTAACACAAATGATTTAAGCTACGTAAAAATCGGGATGTGATAAATTTACACTTACAAGTGTAAGCCAGCTTCCTCATTTCGCGGATAATAAAGATTACGAAGTAGATTTTAATTCAAAAAAAATATATAAATATATGTTTTTGTTTTGACGTAACTAAAACAAAAAAAAAAAAACGGTATCGTAAAAATTAATAAAAATAAGATGAACTTTTTCCAATATACTATCAAAGCCTCTACGCATGTGAAATTTATTTTTCACCAATAAAGAATGTGTTACGATGATGATAATAATAATAATAATAATAATAATAATAATAATAATAATAACAATAATAATAATATATTACTATAGCGGATTTATAATTTGAACATCACGAAAGAGCTTAATAAATCCGCATTGCGCCGTACAAAAATCATGCTAAAAAAGCACACATATATTCAAATGTATAAAAAAAAATTGTCTCTAAAAGGTGAATGCATTTTTAGTGTTATATATTTCGACGTATATATAAACGCGCGTATATTCAAAAACTCTCCGATATTAAATTTTGATTGGAGAGCCTCGTCGAGCGGGGTACGATATTAAAAAAATCGTTAATATTTGCACACAGCAGAGAGTTACGCACTTCAATGTGTCGCTAATTTCTTGCGTGCGCTTCGCGGTCGTGCAAAAAGCGATGGTGATATAAATCATGCGCGACGGTTCGCGCGTTTCCGCATTTAATTATGCAGCTCGTCGCGATGTGATAACACAAACGATGCGCGCGTCTAAAAAAATTGATTGCAGGCCATAAACGCATAGAAGAGAGAGAAGATATATTTATATAAAAACTTAATAATCTCGTAAATAAAATATTTGCTCGTTGCTGGTTAAACTGTTTTGTATTTATGTATATTTAAAATGTTAATTTATTAGATGGTGTAAATATACACAACAACAAACATGCATTATAACTTTTAGATCACAATTTGTGTCGCGCTGGGCCATAGAAAAATAGTTTTTCTCCAGCTGACGCGTGTATGTTAGTAGAATCTCGCGCGCGACAACACGTCATTTCAACACCATCCAAGTTTTAATATCATTCAAAAGAAATTTAAAAAAAAATATATATATATATTTGTATATAAGTCGTATTGTGCGATTGTCGATCTAATAACGGAAATATATCTCGAAACATCATAAAAACTCGCGCATCTTCGTTCTCGATCTTTAATTTCCGTGTGAAAAAAGTTTCGCAGCGAACAGTTTCAGACGATAAAAAGCGCGACAAAAATCACGAAAAAAAAAAAAAAAACAAATA